AAATTTCAGGAATTTCTGGAGGAAGCAATATTACTCACACATTTATTTTTTTGGCAGAAATGGAAACTTGGTGGTCTTACCTTCCCATCAAACCCATAGAAGTTAAATTTTGTCAACGCTTAATGGATTTGGAGGCGACGATAGTGAAATACGGCAAAATGTCCGAATTTAGGGCGCAAGTCCGAATTTAGGAACAATGACTGTAGCGTAATTGACCGCGACAACTGAGCGTCTCTTATTGATACACCGCAGGATGGAGAGCCGCTGCGCACCTTCGCCCAAGGTTTCCTGACATGGCTGGAGCAGCACCCGACGGCTGCCAAGGAGCAGCTGGAGGAAGTCATGGCCTCTGTGCGGGACGCGCGCGGGAGCCTCCAGGAAGCCGACAAGCTTGCGGAGGCTGCAATGACGAAGAGGGGACTGGCTACGCTGTCCGTGCAGGGGATGCAGGGCATTGCGCAAAAGCTGGGGCTGCGATCGACCGGTCCCCCTACCGCTCAGCTGGACAAGACACCCGTTGAGCTGCAGATAGGGGGCAACAAGTTGGTGGTGATGAAGGGCGTGACGTCGCTCTCGATGGGGGTGGCCACCGCCGACGGGCTCGTCGCCGTCCTCATCCCCCGCAACACACCGCTTCCCTGCAAGGTCACCAGAACCTTCACCACGGCCAGCGACAACCAGGAGGAGGCGATAATCAAGTTGTGCCTTGGCGAGGGGGTGCGCTGGGGGGACAACCACATCCTGGGTGAGCTGACCCTGGCCGTACCCGCCGCCGGGCCCAGGGGCCAGGTCGACATCGACACGACCTTCGCGCTGGACGCGGGCGGCGTGCTGACCGTGACCGCCTTGGAGAGGTCCTCCAAGGAGGAGGCGAGCGTGACGCTGCAGTGCGAGTCAAGCCTAGAGAGCGCCCGTCTCTAGGCGAGGCTCTGGGAGCGCGACAGAGCCAGCAGGAAGGAGAGACCAGCGCTAGGCGCTGTACTTCGGCCGTACTAAAATGTAATATGTTTCAAAGACTCTTTTATATATCCTTTACTTTTTCCGTGCCTCTTTTTCTATTCTGTGTATACCTTGTTCGTTTCGTTAACTTCGTTGTTTGCGTGCACAATTGCCATTCAGGACACTATTCTTTATGATAGATAGAATAAGTCACACTTCCATCAGCAGAGGATTGTGTACATTGTCTGAATTTCCTTGCACTGCATACATACTCAATAAAAATAGATCAAAAAAGCTATTCCGCTTTCTTTATGAGATGTCAAACAATTTGGATTTTTAAAAGAAATTGTTTACACGTATTTGATAAAGTGGGACTTTAATCCTTATTACACTTTTTATCAGCTAAATAACCCAAACTTTGGTGGTGCCCTGAAGCACCGTTGGTCGCGACAGTCCCGCAGTGCCGTCGCATTCCCTGCGACGTCTGTCGGAGGTAGGCAACCCCGCTGTCGTGCGCGCCCAAGGGGTTGCCGACGTCGCAGGCGACCGCGCGCTCGAGGTCCGTTGTTTGGTGTGTACAGTCGGTCTCTAGCGACTACGACTCACGACGTCCTTTCTGCTGGGCTCGAACGGGCAAATCCGGCAAATCGCAGCCGCCTGTCGTCTCTTGAACGAAAGAGTTTCGTTCAAATCGTGATAGCACTTGCACAGTGCCACGCTCAGCGCTGCCCGCGGACTGGCGAAACACACCCCTCTTCCTACCCGAGTGTACGTCGCGAGGGCGCCTTACGAGTAGCGTCGACTTCTCCGGGTGAACGTATTTCATTTCAAAAGGGCGAGGAGAACACTCATTCCGACTCACTTGTACTCTTTGCTTTGTCGGCAGAAAAGGGAGATAGATAGACACTTCCGAGGACTTGAGGCGGGAGAGGGGTGCAGCGGGGAGGGAGCGGGCGAGGAGGGCGCGCGG